AGTGGCTCTTTTTAAGGCCACACCTCTTCTCTCCTCAGAGAAAATAACGGTCCCGTGAAATTAGATTCTACCCCCTAGGCTGGATGAAGTCAAGGTCACCCTTGCTTAATCCTGTCCTCTTGGCCGCTGCTTCCTGTGTTACTCCATTAGGTTTTGTGGTTTGCAATCCATGTATAAAATTCTCTCCAAGGCATATTCCCTCTGATCGCCCCCATAAGTGTTGGGGGGGGGGGCTATACCATAGTCTGTGTCAGCTAAAGGACACGGCACTGGTATGACTTTCCCCAGAAGGGCAGCCCACCTTGTCCCCTACTGGGGACATGGAGAAGTTATCATCCCCTAGGAACTTCTTCAAAGAGACTTTCATTTCAGCTGGAGTGCCTGGGGTGTGGGGGTGGAACAGGCAGAAGGGTGTAGAATGACCCTGACCTTCCTCAACATACCAGGGTTGAGGTTGACAAACCCCCCTTTCCCACTGGCCAAGCAGAGGGTGGGAATGAGGGGCTGTGGATGGTGACACTGTGTGTGTCCGGGTCGAGGTGTGTCTCATTTCAAAGGCCATTGCTCATTATCACCCATAAAACTGCATGCTTCACCATAAAATGCACTTAGAAGCAAGGCAGAGAATGAAAATGTATTAACTGCATTTTTTTTTTTTAACAACTAAACTTGGGTAAGAAATGTAGACCACTGAGAGAAGCTTAAACAATAGTAACTGCTAACACATGTGAAATTTCTGTAAGAGGACATTGTTTCCATTATAGTATTATTCTCCGACATGATTTTTTTCTTTCTTCAGGAGGAGGAGATTAAAGCTTGGTTTTAGATATGAAATGTTTTTCCCTCCCTTAAAAGTCACCGGGTGCAGGGATAGATATTGGAAGTCTGCTACGAATATTGTTGAAGCATGTAAGAAGGGAGAGATTCAGACGGAATACACAGTTACAAGTTTTTTAAAGTCCTATTTCATTGTGCTTTTACACATCTGGATAATTAACCAAGCATTACATTCTCCCCAGACTATTTTTACAAGTACAATGTGCTCTTAATGTGATTTCCATTAGGCTGTTCCAAACATCATTTAAGAACTCAGAAAGATCGCAGACCGAGATTCAAAACCCTGGTGCTATGGAGACCTTGCTCTCTCCTGGGGGACATAAAAGACAGAGCTGAATGCTGAGATCCTTCTGATGCAACAAGGAAGGCTGGGGGCTCGCTGCTGCTTTATGTCCCAGCGTCCAATACACGTTTCTGTGGCTGAGTTCCCCATCTGAAGGTCACTGCTGAGTTCTAAACTAATGTGTGCCCAGATACTCTCTGGCCTCGCCTTTCTGCTTTCCTTTTATCATCACTTTGATGCTGTTCTGAGCCTTTACGAGGCCAGGGCCTAACCCCGTGGTGGAAGGTTAGCGGGGATTCACAGACTTCGGGAGCCTCCGTGGCCAGCTGCTGCCCACATTGGTGAGCACCAGAGCGAGATCAGAGGAACCGCAGGGCCGGCCGCTGGGCCGGTTTGTTGCCTTTGTCCTTGTAACAGGCAGAGCTCGGAACAAAAGAAGCAAGAGTTCATAAAATTACAGGATCCCAAGTACAAGTCCCGAGGGGCTGTTTAGCCCACCTCTGATCCAGCAGACAGCCACACCTAAGTTCTTCCTCCCAAATAAAGGGTTCTAATATATGTGTGTGTGTATATATATATATATATATATATATATATATATATATATATTCAGAAAAGGGAACACTGGGCAAAATAAAACAGGATTTATGATTTATGGTCTGGTTGCCTTTGTGTGGGCCCGTGGTGATCAGAGAATCATTAACTTGAGAAATAAATAATTGAGGAAGAATAAACAAGTCTTATCTTGCAAAAAAATAAATAAAAAGAAGAAACATCTGTCAACAGCAGAGCCAAAATAATTGCAATTTCACTATCCTGTTTCAGTCTGTTTTCCATAAAACGATCCTGTAATTGTCTTCGGTGTGACAGCCGGAGTCACTCAGCCAGGGGGGTGATGAATGGGGACGGCAGCGAAGGATTTGTCACACTGACACGGGCAGGGAAGTGTGTGAGAGTCATTAGGAAGGAAAAACGAGGTAAACACCATCATGGTTAGGTTAGCAAATGCGACTGAACGTTGAGGAATCTGTTTTAGATGTTGTTACAGAACTACCCACCTCACTTCTCGCTTTCCAGAAGTGGCCAGCTTAGCAGGTCTGTCGTGGATGAACCCAAGGTTGAGCCCCTACTTGGGGGACCAGAGACCCATAATCTATTCCAGGTCTATTGACTGGAAGATGATTTGATATGAGAAATAGGAGCTGTGGAGGCAGCCAAGCCTGGATAGAATTCCAGCCAGGCATGTGACAGCAATGCACAGGCCCTTGTTTCCATCATTTTAAAATATAGGAAGATACGGTTAACCTTATTTAGCTTAAATTAAAGTAAATAGAAAAGCCTAGTTTTTAATAGATGCTCAGAAATTGAGTGGGTGTTTGTTCTTAATTTCCTGCCTGAATATATCCCACATACTCATGATGGTCATAAGGGGGGAGTGCCCTCAGAGTCTGGCTGCTTTAGCCTATATTTGTCTTCACTACCTGGTTAGCAAGTTAAAATACATACCCTTCCATCTCAGAAGGAGAGGTGTTTTATTGCCAGGTTTTATAATGAGACAGCCGTCAACCCCTCTGAGCCTCAGTGTCCACATTTTGCAATGGGAACAGTGCTGTTTCCAGCATATGATCATGGCCTGAAATAAATGAGAGCTCCCAGTCTCTGAACTACCCGTCCGTGGAGAGCCTTGGAAATGTTGTGAAGGGTCTGTAGACTCAGATGTACCCACATAATGCCTCTAGTCTGCTTTGCATTGCTGTTCTTCAAATGTATTAGGTTAATTCAAGACTCATTCAACAGCTGCTTATTGAGCACTAACAAATAAACAGCATCAGGCAGAAACAAGCAGACCGATATCCCTGTGTTCACTGACCTTTTAGTCTAGGTGAGGGAATAACAATTCAAGATAAACAAGTAAAAGAGTGTGAGCAAGTAATTAGGAATAAGATAAAAAAGGAGAGAAGGGGACTAAAAAATGTTTTTTGTTTTTTTTTTTAAAAAAGGAGGTGTGACAATTTTATACACACACACACACACACACACACACATACTAGAGGCCCATTGCACAATATTTGTGTAAGAATAGGCCTTCCTTCCCCTGGCTTCACTTCTAAGCTACCTAAGAGCCAGCAAGTCCTTGCTTCTGTCCAGTAGCTTCCTCCGCTACCCCCCTTCCCCTCATCATGCCCCTACCAGCTGCTCTGTGCCTGCATATACAAATTAACCTCCAACTTTGTCTGGGTTAATTTGCATACCCATTCTGATTGGCTGTGGGCATAGCAGAGTGATAGTTAATTTGCATATTTCTCTTATATTAGTTAAGATACACACACACACACATACACAGATGTATTGATTTCAGAGAGGAAGGGAGAAAGAGAGAGAGAGAGAGAGAGAGAGAGAGAGAGAGAGAGAGAGAGAGGGAGGGAAACATCAATAATGAGAGAGAATCATCAATCAGCTGTCTTCTGCATGCCCCCTACTGGGTTCGAGGCCCTAGCTCCAACATGTACTGTGATCTGGAATCAAACCATGATGCTCAACCACTGAGCCATTCTGGCCAGGCAAAAAGGAGGTGTGACCATTTTAGATAGGGTGGCCAGGAAGGCATCCCTTAGAAGGCTCCCTGAAGGAAGTGAGGGAGTTAAGCGTGTGAGTATATCTGGGAGACCATTCCTGGTGCCGGGAACTGCTGCTGCAAAGGCCACAGGGGGAGCAGTGAGCATCACAGTGATGATTGTGGTCCCATATGGGCTGGAAAGGAATGAGCAAGAGAGTGGAGGGGATCATGTTAGTGAAGTGACCAGATCACGTCAGCCTTTATGTCTCAGGAAAAACCCTTTGCTCTCCCTCTGAGGGAAGTGGGAAGTCCTTGGGTTTGAGCAGAGGGGTGGCATGATCTGCTTTATCCAGACCCCTGCCCTGACAGTAGCCTGGACAAGGAGAAGGGTGAAAGCAGGGGCTAGCTAGGAGGCTATTGCAACAGTCCGGGTGAGAGATGGTCTACCTGGAACAAAGCAGTGGAGTGGGTGTGTGAGAAGACATGTCAATGATGGACTTTTGTGGGGTATCAGAACTGAAGAATGGCACTTGCTCCTGGCCTAAGCAGGAGAAGGTCAGAGTTCATGGGAACGGAAAGGGAGGCTGCAAGGAGGGCTTGGGATGAAGCTGCATTTTGAACAGATGAAGTTTAATATTAAACATGTTAAGTGGAAATGTAAGAAAGTGACGTTTGGAAAAAATACAAGTTGGCTTTAAACTATTACTGAACTCATACTAGCGTTTTCAGCATACTCTTAAAAGCAGTATTATTATTATGTTTGTGTCCACGAAATGTTTCAAAACCGGAAAAGAACCTTATACTGGAAAAGGTTGGATATAGAGGTGCGTTCAAGTGACAATTTTGGTGAATAATAAGAAGTGTTTCCCATTTCTTCTTCCTTTAGCACACGCTGATGTCAAAACTTGTGTCATTATACAGAAGTTGAGATCCTAATTCTGGCCTAGATTTAAAAACTAAAATAAAATAAACCTTTTAATGGAACTTTCTCTAAGAAAAACCGTATGGAGCAGAATTGTATTCACTGATCCATTTTTCTTTACTGTTTTGAAAGAAGATGAAAACGCTCACTATTCCATTTTCATGCATTATTTTTGTATGTTCCTAACCTGTGACATGTGTGTCACTGGGTGCAACTTGGGATGACAAAGAAATAAGAGACAGTGCTCTCAGCTATTGTGGAATTTGCCATGTGAGGCTAGGAAAGTCGTGGTGTGGCTCAGGTGAAGATGCCGCTGTGATTGTGATTGAATGAGCTTAATAAACACGTGATTTTGTCAGTGTACATTTCTGATGGTTCATTTTAGCATCTGCCCTTCTCAGTCTTATGCAGGCAAGTATGTGCCGGCCATCGCACACTACATCCACATGCTCAACCCCATCCTGTCGGTGAAGATCAACCTGAAAGGAATCGCTATTGGAGATGCATATTCCGATCCTGAATCAGTAGGTGTCTCCTTTTCCTTTCCGTTTTGTTCCTTAAGAAGAATAAACTTCCTTTGATTTGATGGAGGCTCCTCTTACCTTGGAAATCAAACTGATAAAGATGTCTGATAATTCCAATCCTCTAAATTTCCCCAAATGTTTAAGGTGTAGGGGTGTATGTGTATGTGTGTGTGTGTGCATGTATATGTTTGTGTATTGTGTGGTGTGTGTTTGTAAAGTTGTGTCTATGTTGTGTGTTATGTATCTGTGTATTGCATGGGCACGTTTGTACAGCATGTGTGTGTGTGTTGTGTGTTTGTATATGTTTGATGTGTGGTGTGTTTATATTCGTACTATGTGTTGTGTGGTACGTGGGTGTGGTTGTGTGTGGGGGTGTGTGATTGTCCTGCTTGGCTAATTCTAGCCCGAGATGGACAAATTACAAAGGGCTACTTCACCAAGCACATGGGCTTCCCTGACTTCTTCCACGCCCTGTGGCTCTTGTGTTTGTCTCTTTTCTCCCCAGATCATAGGCGGCTATGCATCATTCCTGTTCCACATTGGCTTGCTGGATGAGAGGCAGAGAAAGTACTTCCAGAAGCAGAGCAAGAAGTGCATGAAATACATCAAGGAGGAGAAGTGGCTTCAAGCCTTTGAAGTGAGTCCTGGGGCCCACGTGGCCCGGAGCAATGAGAACCATCTGAGGGGTCCCAGAAGCACCCCAGTGCTCAGGCTGTTTGTTGTTGTTAGAGAAGGTGTATCTGTTATGCCATCCGAGCTCAGGAGGGAGACAGGGGACTCCTGATGGAGAGAAGGATGGTGTGGGCTTCTCTGAATGCCCTGTGGCTCTATGTTCCAACTGACACCATGTCCTTCATTGACTGTCCTGATTTCTTTCAACACCTCGTGGCCCTGAAGGCACGCCCTGGGTGAGGAGTGGAGGCAGGCAGCCTGGAAAGTGGACCATGTGCTTCCACATCTGCTCTGAACCCTCTGACCCACCCCTGTTAGCCACACCCAGGGTTTCAGCCCAAGATGTGACCAGCATGTGTAACAAATGTCACCTGTTCCTTGTGCCAGGAACCAAGATGATAAGTATAGTGATTAGAGACTTTTACCAAGAGCCTTTGGTATTTGTAAACATTAGCACATTGCCTCCCTAATATTGAAATTGAGAATCAAATAATGTGGTTACATTCTTCACCCTTGTTGTTATTTAAAATGTTAGACTCCGAAATATTAGGATACGGGAGGTTGGGATTGGTTTTGTTGTTTGCCTGTGCAGACAAAGATGAGGCTTAAGCAGTCTTTCACAGGGATTTTGCCACCTTTAGAATGGAGCCATCATGTGGATGAGGCCAGGTTCAGTTTGGAGGACTTGAACCTTTGTTACCGGAAGCTATTGGTGATGTTTGGGTAAGGGCACTGTTGTTGGAAGACCTGCTATTAATGGTCTTTTAGGCGCTGCAGGTCAACTGGTTCAGATCAAAGCAGGAGGCAGGCTCACTTAGGGAGAAGGGGAGGAACATGAAGTTATACTCCAGTCTGCCCGTGGGTGCCACGGTTAGCACTACCTGAAACCCCAAGCAGTGCCTGCCCTGCCAGGAATTCTGGTTGCAGCCAGCTGTGCATCTGGAGGGGGCGCAGGAAGTCCCGGCTCCCCTTTCTCTGTATCAGGACACCTGCAGTGACTGCGGAATGTGGTTCAGAATTTCTTGGGCGATTTTAAGTATGAAGGAAGAGGGAGCTCCATGGGGAGATATAGGATCATTCTTCAATTCACAACAACAGTATTTTCTTTTTAAAAAAATTCTCATCTGAGGATATTTTTTTCCATTGATGTGTGTGTGTGTGTGTGTGTGAGAGAGAGAGAGAGAGAGAGAGAGAGAGAGAGAGAGAGAGAGAGAGAGAGAGGGAGAGAGACATCCATTGGTTGCCTCTCATATGCACTCCTACCCAGGCCAGGGATCAAACTTGCAACTGAGGTACATGCCCTTGACTGGGAATCAAACCCTGGACCCTGCGGTGTGTGAGCCAACACTCTAACCACTGAGCACACAGGCCAGGGCCACAATGACAGAATTTTCAAGGCTGCTTTTGGGCTATCAACTGTGCTAGCACAAAAAGGACTAAACCTTTAGAATTTAGCATTCCTATCAAAGTTCACATCCTGGGAGACCCATCTGCAAGTGAGACATTTGATGTGTTTTTGGCAAAGCATACAGGGATTAAGCAGTGTCAAGAGCAAAAATATTTCATAGGCCCAAAGGGATAAAGAAGGCAGAAATATGCTTGTTGTACGTGAAGTGAGCTAGCAGTTGTGGAATCCAGTGACCCTGTTTAAAAGTTCAAGTATTTTGTATACCCAGAGATAATGAGGAGATGCTGCCTGAGGTTAGGTAGCATCTCTCTCAGCCCAGATTCATTAGGAAACAAAGAAAACACCCCAAACCCTGGAATGTCTCTCTGGCCACCGGTCCAATATCTTGAGTGAAGTATTAAAACTTAAAGACTATTGCTTTTTCAAGGGAAAGAGATAAAATGATTCTTAAGAAAGTTCGAAAATAGTGGTCAAATGTGTTTCAATATCAGTAATAGAAACTGGAAGAAATCCCCAAACCCAAGAGGAATGAGCTGTCAGCATCGCAGGCCTAAATAACAAAGCCTGCTTGATGCTTTGCTCCTTGACAACGATTCTGTTCATCAGGGCTGGAGGGGAGGTCGGGAGCATCTCTACACACACACACACACACACACACACACACCATGTTCCCAGATGAGGATGCTGAGGCCGGGAGGGTGCAATCAATTGCCCAAAGCCACATGACAGATTGTGGGAGGTCTGGGGCTAGACTTACCTCTCCTTCCCAATTGCCACCCAGGACCTCTCCCATGGTAATTTTCCTGCTTTCTAGAAAAATCCTGGGGCACCCTAATGATTCTGTAAGATGTGCCCAGGCCATCACTGGTCCTGTGTTGTCTTTTTCACATGACAGTATTCTCTTGGGGAAACAGTTTTGATTAGAAACTGGATCTCACAGGTCTTGACCACCCACCTGAGTGATTTGATAGTAAATGATTTTGACTCTTTTCAGAATCAAATCCATTCTGGAATATAAGCTCCACAAGGGAGGACTTGGGGTGTGTCCTGATCGCCACTGTTTCCCCAATGTCTAGGACAGTGGCTAGCCCAGAGGACAGGTGCAATAAGTGGCTGTGGAATGGAACAGTGCACAAGTGAAGAAGCCATTGAATAAAAGAAATGACAAATGCCTGTATATTTTTTCCCGCCCTGATGTGGTTCTTCCTTCTTTCTCCCCTCTCTTCTGATCTAGGTGATGGATGAACTACTAGATGGTGACTTAACAGACTCTTCTTACTTCCAGAATGTTACAGGATGTTCTAACTACTATAACATTCTACAGTGCACGGTAATGGTGTATAAAAATAACACGATAGTGTTTGCTTAAAACCTTTGGCAAAAATCAAACTTTTTAAAAAAGAAATTTGGAAATATTATAGTTGACTTTATACTAGACAAATATGCATTATTGGGTCTACTAATCTGTAGGATTCCTTCCCTTCAATGTTGTAAACATTATACTCTGACCATTGAGACTGTGTGATATTCCAGATAATTCAGAACAATCTCTGATGAACACAATCCTCCCTCCAACCCCCAATGACCCAAAGAGCTTGTGATACGGAAGTTCTTTTGTGACGGACAGAGGCTGGGACTGCAGTTCTGGGTAGCAGGTCTCTGAGTTCCAAGCCTGCAGTGGGTTTTTGGAAGTGCCCACATTGTTTGTTCTGTACTTAAGACAGTTTGGATAACCAAAACTGCCAAAGCCTTTATGAAAATATTTGCTTTGCCTTACTTAAGATGTTTCTTGCATTTAATACAGACCTCACTTTGAGCCCTTGAGTATTTCTCAAAGTATTCAAGTAGTTTCTTTCATTAAAGTAGGCCAAAGTTGATGCCTTTTGGGTAGAATTATCACAAAGTGAGCCAAAGTGGGGATGTGGGTAGTATATTCTTTGTCTAGTGTGTGTGTGTGTGTGTGTGTGTGTATATATATATATATATATATATATATATATATATATATATATAGCAATACATTCTGTTTATAAAAATTGCCTTATTCATGAACTATTATACTTTGTAAATAAAATATAAAGCTAACATCAATGGAATTTTCCAGCTTTGTGGTTTTAGATTTTATCAAGAGAAAAACATGGTATCAAAAGAGAAATAAAATTTTTAATTTGATTTTTTCAAAGTAATAATTCACAGTTAGCAAAAACTGTTGACGATGCACAAAACTGTTTATCTCAAACTCTGACAGTTTTTTATCCTTTTGTAACTTTTTAAAACAGCTTGGAGTCCTTTTTATTTTGGTATAATGGATATCAGAGACTTGTACACAGTATTGTTTTAAAACTAAGCTCATGAATAACTTCTTTAGTGTTAGGTGCCCCACAAAATATATCATCTGTCTTTACACTCTGTATGTACCCCTTAAATCACGGTCAGCCGATTATTTGGTGTGAGTGGCTTTAGCAAAGGGGACATGGGAAAGAAATCCTCAGCTTGTGACCCACTCACCATCACCCTGGGCCCAGGTATTCCTTTGATCTTCTTCCCATAGTTTCTCCAGCAAGGAGCAAATTAATTGGGATACTCTCACCTCTTCCATTTCCCTGTATTTACCTCCAATGAGACTGTTCATTGGAGTCACAGATTGCAAAAGATGCATTTCCATTAAAAAAAAATTCAGCATTTACAAATTTGTTATTGGTTTCAAGAGTCTCATCCAGATTTGTTGTTAGTGAAATTTAAATTAATTCAAAACCCCCAAGTTAAAATTTTCAGGGTGGGAGCAAGTAAATAGTCATGTCTTGTCCTGTTCCTTGCGGTGTAAGTTATGAAAAATTTGAAGATTTGGCCAAATGTAGGCTGTTCATGTTCCTTGATATCTTTCGGGTGCCTCCTTCTGACAGGAACCCAAGGACCAAAGTTACTATGGGCAATTCTTGTCCCTCTCAGAAGTGAGACGAGCCATCCATGTAGGGAACCGGACTTTTAATGATGGATCCAAAGTTGAAAAGTACTTGCGAGAAGACACAATGAAGTCAGTCAAGCCATGGTTAACTGAAATCATGAATCACTACAAGGTGAGAAAGTTACTTCAGTTACTATTTTAGGAACTTTTTGGACTGCCCAGAGCAGAGGAGGCTTTCTTGGATTTGTCATTTGACTCTTACCATTTTCCTTCTTTACTTGTATGATGTTTTACAGATATAAATAACAATCCCTTTCACTGTTTGATTTCTTTCAATGAAAAGTTTTGTGGTTTCTTTCTTCTAATTAAACCACATACCCGGATAGTTCCTAATGTGAAATTCTCCTTGGCACATGCCACCTCTCATCATTTCCTAAGAAAATAAGTCTTTGCAGAGCTAAAAGGATGAGCCAATTTTTACTTATTGTTTGCTGTGTAATATTAATCCCAGTGAAGTCAGGAGTAAAGGGAACCAACTGATTACTCCACAATGCATATTGCCTAATAATTGAATTAATTCATGTTGCTCAAAAGGCAGTTTTCTCTTTCTGTAGCCACACGAAGCCAAACACTGCTAGGCTGTCAGGTTGAAACAATGAATGAGAAAGGGTTTCTGTTTGGAGGTGTGGAAAGCCTATCACTATGTTATTTGATTGAGATGTTTTGCCTGATTTGCTGCTGGAGGTACCAAAAGAAAGTGAATTTGTGGAAAGGAAGCCCTGAGGGTTCTGGAAAGGAGCCACGGACGCTAGGGCTTTCACCAAAGGGGTGGATACCACGAGCAAGTGCCACAGGGACAATAATCCTGTGCATCCCCTCCCCCTTCTCTTCTCAGTTCTGATCTTCCAGGGCTGCTGTCATTTGTCCCAGGCATGTTCTCTGGGGCATCTGTGCAGGAGAAGTGTGCTTACATGATAGAGGAGACCATCAGTGGGCCAATCCATTGCCTTTCTATTTCCTGGCAGAAGCAAGAATAATCCTATATATTAAAAGGCTAATATGCAAATTATTATTTTTAATTTGGGAGTTTGACCAGGGGGTGGGGCCGGCTGGCCAACCTTAAGCATCCCATCCTCCAGGCCAGCCCAGCCCAATTGGTCCTGATTTGGGGTGGGCCAGCCAGACCCCGCCCATGCACAAATTTGTGCACCAGGCCTCTAGTGTTTGGAATAAAAAACAAACAAACAAAAAAACACACAGAGCAGCCAGTAGCCAGCATACTTTTGTATCAATTAGAAGGAAAAAAAAGGCAACCTCTCAAGGTACTTTATTTATAAAGTATTATTCATTACTTTAATAAAGACACTTTATTCCCATCTGTTAAAAATTATCCTAATATACTGCCTTTATTTGAACTAAACTCTTTGCTGCCATTTTCTACCTCAAGAAACACACATTTCTACAATGTCTATGTCAGGAATAGTGTCATGTGGGATTGTTCTGGGCACAACCTTCAGTATTGTCCAGAGAGTTTCTGGCTAAATGCACAATTACAAGATTAGGTTTTAGAATATGCCAGATCCTGGAGGCCCATTTTCTGATCCTGCTTTAGCACAGAGTTTGAGTTTCTAGACACACAACCCTTTTTGAAAATATTCTAGCGTCAGTGACATGCAGAGTCTACAACGCTATTAAAAATCTGCTCAGACAGACTGCATACTCATTGCTCTGCTGGCAGAGCCACAGGGCAGCAAATATCTTTGGCTTATCCATGATGGTGGTGACCCTCAATGCATATGCAATAGAATTGGAACAACGTAGATGGGCTTAAAACATTAGTACCCTCAAAGTGATATGTATGTAAGACTCCGTGCTAATTTGTCATAGAAAATGATGCACACATTTCTATTCCTGGGAACCTGGAAGTCTTTTTCCTGTGCTAGGTTCATTTTAGCCAATGCGGACTATCTCATTTGGACAGGGGAAGACCCTCCTCAGCTCCTGAGAACTAATGGAACTCCTGTGGCACCTATGGGCAAACTGTATGAAACATAATCCTTTTCTTGTAATGACCTCTAGGGGATGAGTACTCAAACTGATTCTACTCAGTAATTTCAGACGTTTGGGTGGTAAATTACAACATCATGTTAATAATTTCCAAAATAACTAGAATGGGAAATAATCTGCTGGGTTATTGGGATTCTTCATAATTCAATCAGGTCACAATATTGTCAGGATTTTTAGGATTCAGCGGGGTTGTAGATCATGGTAGTTAGGAGCGTGAGTTCTCAAGTTGGATAGTCTGAGTTTGAATGCTGGCTCCACCATTCCCTGGCTGGGTTCCTTTGGGAAGGATACTTAAACACGTAGCTTCAGCTTCCCCATCTGTAAAAGAATAATGATAGTACTTACAGGGCATCTCTAAAACTTAAGAATTGCAACTCATTCTCCCTAAGAGCTGTTAGCTTTGAAAACCTTGCTCTTTGTAGAGGTCCCCTGGTCCTTAACTCTTTCTGATATAGAAGGTACATTGTTCTTGTGAAGATTCTTGCTAAAGGTTCTGCATGTTTTTAGCCTCCCTTTCTTTGTCTGGTATAGTTATTTCTAAAAATATATGGGCTATAGTTTCAAAGACATCAGAATGAGTATCAGTGTGGGTGTGTTTGGGGGTGTGTAGTGCATTTCCTGCGTGAAACCTTTATTATAACGAATAGGAGCCACAGCTCTATACATGGAGGCCATTTGGATTCAAGCAAAGCACTGGCCTTGGATTTGAGGCTGTCCCCATTGCTACGATGTCTGGAAGCCCACTGGTAGGGGGTACCATCTCCAAGTGCCAGCTCTTAACCTCCATATGCCTGTGCTTCGAAAGGTTAAATTGCCCTGGGGTAGGGCTTAGTTTGCTGTGTTTAAAAGTTCTTCTAGTCAGGAAATTGTAAATATAAAGTTACATTTCCCTGTCACTTATCATTCTGCAGCTCATTAAGTTCCCACTAATTGCATCTTCAGAACCCAGGATCTTACTGTTTTCTCGGCTTCCCCACCAGACTGAAATCTTAACACCCAGGTCGTTGGAGTTTTGTTTACTTGTCCGGGGCTAGCAAAAGGTCTTCAGTTAGGAATGGGCAGTTCCTGTTTAAAGGAGGCGGCATAGAGGTTTGAGAGATACATACTTTTAGTAAAACTGACTCGTTCTCACAGTCATTCTAATTGCTTGTGGCATTTTCCTTCATAACATCGCCTGATAGCAAAATGTCAATAGCAAAAGTGGCCAGGAAACGAGGCTGGATAAGTGTCTAGCAAACCAAGAAAAAGTTTACACTTCCACGGGCCTGATTCCTCGGCGGCTCAGTTGGAATCCAAGTGCCCATGAAACCATGACGGGAAACCCTTGGCTTTGTTGACTGTACGCTGATGTGATCGCTTTCTTCCAAAGCCTTTGAAGGCCAGGAAGAGAATGCCGGTGCCATTCCATGAAGAATGTCTGGGAGGAGGAAGTGACTCCAAGTGAAGCATAACGGAAGAGAGGAAGCTAATCCTGGGACATTTGTTTTATATAACCACAGCCCATAGATCAGCAAGCGCCACTTTACGGGCAAATAAAATAGTGTACCTTCTACTGCAGGGTGCTTGGTGAGGTCATTGTACCTGCTTCAATTATAATCTAAGCGCAAGAGTGGGGTTAGCTTTTATTTATTTATTTTTTATTTATTATAATTATTTTTTTAATGAGACATACTTTTGGACTGTGTTGATTTGTAAGGATTTCAATGATTATGGGGAAATGAGACTACCCATATAGTATAAAACAAACTTCGATTTCATTCAAACTTGCCATGCTTTTGACAATTTTTTTTTTGTCTGTCCTTTTAATTTATGTTGGGACGAAATGTTCAAAGGAGAACCAGGGTGTATTTTTATGTTCTCTGACTTTTTTTTTTTTAATAAAAAAACCTTTTGATATAAAAATATCAAATAACCTTTGATATTATATTCTGCCATGTGGACCAGTTTGTTTTAAACTGCTTTGCTTGGTGAGCACTCCGATCATTTTGCAAGGGCTTTATTTTGTTGTTTGAATGGACTTCATGCTCAAAACATTAGAAGGTGCATTTGTGATCTCTGGCAACAGGAAAAGTAGAATTTATCCTGGTGTCACCCAAATGCACTGGAGCACTTTTTTTGAGTCTGTATGTGAGTCATATATTCGAGTCATAGAGACAAAATGCAAAGCTGGTATTTTGGTTCTGGTCACGGTTGAGTCCATTTGCCATGAGATGTGACTCCAGGTCCAGTGCTCTTTCCACTGCAGTTTCCTCTTCTTCCCCTGAGCACAAGGGACTGAATTCAGGGGCGGCCGGCCCTGGCTATTAGTCCAAAGGGGAAGGCACATTCTCACCCTTCCCAGTGCCCGTGAAAGCCAGAGTCGTAACCTCTAGGGGTCTCCCTGGGGGCTTTTCTTCCCTGGACTTGCCTGGCCTGCTTTGTAGAAATCCACCCCCTACACCCTTGTGTGGCTCTGTCTGAACCATCTACTCGCTGCTGATGAGAAGCTCCCATCCTCTCACGGGTAACAGGCAATACCACAGCACAGGCTTCCCGTACTGAACGGCGTGTGGCTGAGTGAAAGCCCGAACCTTCAACCCAGCTTTCTGAAACGAGAGAGCTCTGGGCAGGAGCCATCTCCTCTGTCTAGATTTCCCTGTCTCCCTGTGCTCCTTCCACTCTGAATACTCAAGTCTATTTCTTCCGCCTCCTGACAGTCCCCGTGTTGGTTACAGTGGCTTGCACAATCCTTTGGAGCCTCGCTGACATTCTCAGGAAAGAGTGGGGGAAAGGATGCTTTACTTACGGAACAAGGGGAAGTTGTGTTTGGGGGAGGAAAAGGCTAATCGCAGACTAACGGGGCGGCGCTGGTGAATAGCCCCATTGAGAGTGCGGGCAGAGGATCCTGCACCTGCTGATAGCAGGTTTTCCTGTGCAGCTGAAACCCCAGAGGCCGCAGGCATCAGCGGGGCTTCTCTGGTGAATTCAGTGAGGGAAAGTAGGCTGTGCAGCCAGGCACCTGCCCCCTTTTCATGGGACTGGGGTAACCACTATGGCAAGCAGGTGGCAGTCTTTAAAGGTTTCCCTTTGCCTTGGGACTGACATTCTGACAACCAGGAAGGACTT